GCTAGCTTAGTCAAGTTTGGCACTTCTGGCCTAGGCTAAGCGTGTAACGTAGGTTCGCCAAAATGAATTGTGAGACCTGGGGCAATATTGACGTAAGGGCCCCCTTTCCACTCTTCTCCCCTCCTTGATGCAGGTTAGTTGTAGTTATGATTATTAATCTAACATTTCATTTAGTTTTTGAAGTTGTGTAAACATTTCTTGTTGTTGATTTTGAATATCTTCACTTTGTAAACCAGATGAAACTGCATCTATCAATGCCATTGATAAATAATCTTGAATATCTCTTCCTGGAAAATTTATTTTTAGAGTTGATAGTTTTTCTTGAATTTCTTTCATACGAAGTTGTACGACGGTTTCGTTTTTTGTTTCTATTTTTACTTTATAACTTCGATTTAAAATGGTTAAATCCACTACTTTAGTCTCACTCATACAAATTCAAAAGTAAATAATTTTTGGAATAATAAATTATTTTATCAAGAAGATAGAAAGACACAAATTAGTACAAAGACATTTTGTAGAGCAAATATTATAAATCCATTTATATGCTATTTTATTTTTGGTTTATTAAGTTTTAATTTTTTTTAAATAGTTTCGTATTTTCATTTTAAATAAATTAATATTTTCTAAAATAAGATTGACAAATGACTAACTTATTAAACATAACAGATTAATAGTAAATTAAATGTTGAATTAAATTCGACTTACAATAATTAATAAAATATCAAACGAACTAAATTTTAATTACGAATTATATGAATAGAAGAAAATTTATTAAAGACGCAATAACAGGATTACCAATTGTGTTGTTAGTGCCATCTCTATTAGAAAGTTGTAGAAAAAATGATGATAATATAAATCCCAAAGACAAAACAATAATTGTTATAGGTGCTGGAATTTCGGGACTTGCAGCTTCTAAAAAATTAAAAGAAATCGGGTTTAATGTTATTGTTTTAGAAGCTCAGGATAAAGTTGGAGGAAGATTAAAAACGAATAGAAGTTTAGGAATTGCATTTGATGAAGGTGCAAGTTGGATACATGGTATTGATGGAAATCCCATTACATCTTTAGCTCAAGAAGCTGGTATGACAACCTTTGAAACCATAGATGATCAGGCAGAATCTTGTTATGATATTGGTGGTGTACAAAGATTGGCGTCAGTTTATGAAACAGCCGAAACAGATTTATATAACATACTTGATTCAATGATGAATAATGGAAATTCGAATCAAAGTTTTGAAACTGTATTTAACACTTTATATCCAACTCATTCAACAGATAGACTTTGGAAATTCTTATTGTCTACTTATGTTACTTTTGATACTGGCGATTTAAATAATTTATCTTCTAATTTATACAACGAAGGTGAAGAATTTAATGGTGTTGAAAAAATAGCCACCAATGGATATGACACAATTGCTACCTATTTAGCCAATGGATTAAATATACAATTAAATCAAAGAGTTTCTAAAATAGATTACTCGAATGATAAAATTAAAATTACGCATAATAGCATAGAAAGTGAAGCCGACTATGTTTTAGTAACTGTCCCACTTGGAGTATTAAAAGCAAATACAATACAATTTATTCCTGCTTTGCCTACAGTTAAACAAACAGCAATTCAAAAAATAGGAATGAATTGTGTAAATAAATTTATTCTAACTTGGAATACACCTTTTTGGGATAATACTCAATACATTGTTTATACTCCAGAAATAAAAGATAAATTTAATTACTTTGTAAACGTAAATAAATTTAATCCTACTGCAAATGCACTCATGACTTTTGCTTATGCCGATTATGCACGTCTAACAGAAACAATGACGGATGCACAAATTATTAATGAAATAATGGTGCACTTAAAAGATATTTATGGAAATAACATTCCTAATCCAACAAATATTTTACGAACAAAATGGCAAAATAACGAAAACAGTTTTGGTGCATATTCTTACACAGCAGTAGGTACTGAAATGCAACATTTTGATGATTTAGCTGAAGAAATAAATGATAAATTATTTTTTGCAGGTGAACATACAAATGTTGATTATTTTTCTACTGCACATGGCGCCTATTTAAGTGGATTAAGAGAAGCTGATAAAATTATTGCATTGCTTTAATAAAATAGAAATTGAAAATTTGTTGTTGTTTTTGCATAATGGGGAGACATTAAATAGTAAAAGAATATAACAAAACACAAATTAGTGTTAAATCAATCGCTTGCTTATTTCATTTAACTTTTTTTTAAATTTCTTGTTTATATGTTTGAATTCTAAAAAATTATATAACATGAAAACAACATTTTTAATGGCTATTTGTATTGGAATATTTTTCACTACAAATGCACAAAACACACAAAAAGGATTTTACATAAATCCTAATATTAATTTAAGTTCTCGTTTGTCGAGGCATAGTGCAAACTACAATTTTAATTATGCAAAACCACAATTAGGAGTTGGATATGTTTTTGGAAATAAAATTAGACACA